ATCTATGCAAGGATGTACTGTGTGTGTCTGATAGTTCAAAGGAGTTTCGCCTGTCTAGATATTCTGTACTTAATTCAATGCCCTGCATGTGCATTTTAATAGTGTATTATTGACAACCACCTGCCACACTGTGCAGCTCCTAAATGGTGACAAAACCCTGCTCTGCAGTGTATTAGAAAGTATCTTTATTGATGCCTGAGTGCTTAATCTGGACTCGGTCCAGGCTAGGATGTTCCGAGGAACACTCCACTCCCTGGAACAATGAGTCTTTAATGAGTGGTCCAGTTCCCTTCAGCTCAGGTGGAGGAGAGAAAAACCAAGGTAATATGATACCTATGACAGTTCATTTACCACCACATCAATATTGCAGCATGAGCCATCTCTTGGCTTTACTTCCCCCCTTTTGCCTTTATTGGATAGCTGATAGAAGGCAGGGAGAGAGAAAAAAAGATATGGAATGTGTTTCCCTGATGGAAGCAAAGCATGAAGGTCATGGTTATTTAGGTTGCAACTTAGGCCCACCAGGATGCGCTTAAATGAAATTAAAGCGGCAGCAATGACGATTAATACAAATTTAATTGATTACAACATTTTAAAGAGCCTCCTGTGAAATTAAGACAAGTAGTTTAGCAATTATATGACGTGTACTGTTATGAATGAACGAATGTAAAATGAATGAATGTAAAAATGTCTTAAAATGATTTCATTTAACATTAGAGCTAGCCTGGAAGGATATACTGCTGATTCACTCTGGAGCCTCTGTCAAGTAGTATTGTAGTGCAGTTTAATGGCCACAAGAGAGAGCTCAGTGCTTTTTCTCTCTCACTGCAAATCCAGCCGTTTGTTGAAGTATGTGTATGACTCCTCCAGGAAACATTAGAATGAAGCAGACAAAAGGAGCATGTAAAGTACATTGCTGAAGGCTACATACCGTATATTTTGTTCTATTTTGAGTAGTATATTCTATATATACTGCAGGACTGTTCACCACTAAGATGTGTTTTTCAAAATTTAAATCCCATCATATGTGAGAGGCTATTTGGCCCATATCATTTTGCATAGATAAATGTTTACCTGTCCCTTGGTAACATCCTTGGCCAGTCTACTATTTGCTATTTTCACTCTCATAAACACACACACATTTTTTTGGAAGGTTTTTTTTGATATAGATAAAAAAAACACCCTCAGTCTGAAGGAAAAGTATTTGAAATGGAATTATTTATTGATCCCATTGTACTGGGTGTTTGTTCAGTGCCTCAGTAAACAACCTATAGCACATTTAATGGAGTATATAGCTTCCTGGTGTTTGCGGCGTGTGATAGAGAGAGGTTTTTAGCTTTCTATTTTTAGCTGCTGGTTCAATGACTATAATATGTGCAAACACAAGGAGAAATGGCCCTGCCCGAGGCCACAGCCCTCAACCCCCATCCCCTTCCTGCACTCAGCTGTGAAGAATTAAGCCAAAGGGATGGGCGAGTGTGTTCGTGTGTGTATATTTGGAGAGCCCTGGGCAGAATGGCCGCAGTGAAAGTGAACACACCTCTGGCAGATACAGCTACCCGACCTGTGTGTTTGTCATTGTGCATACGTGTGTCTGTTGTGGAGGTGATATCTTTAAGGGGAATGAGGGGCATTCAAGATCCCCGTCAGTGCGGGTTGAGCTAACACTGTCCCTGGACTGCTCCCCTACATGGACTGGAAGGTTTGCAGCCTCATGCTGTGTGATGTCTCTGCAGTGTGACTAAATATAGAAAAAAGTGGAAATGTGTTGAATGTACGAATCGTTGTCACTGTCACATATTTTGTTCTAGGATAAAGAATATCTTGAATTACCAAGATCTAAGACAGTGAGAACAAAATGCTAACTTAGAATAGCATTATATGAAACTAAATCTAATTTCAACCTAAATCTTCTTTGATTCAATTTTCTATACTTATCATGAGCTACTTCTTCAACCAACAACCTTATATAGCATATTTTCAACATATTGCTTCCTTTTTGCTTCCAAATCTTTTGAATCATCTCAAGAGTGCACTGTCATCAGTTTCAAAACAAGAGTGTTGCAGTTCATATAATGTTTTGGACATAGTGTATGAGCATTCAGCCCAGCAGTGACATTTTCCTTACTATTGCTCTTCCTGCGTAATATACATCCATTTTCATTCTGACTCTGTTCCAAAGTGCAAATCCAAATCCAAGTATTGATGTCTGAGGCTCAGCTTGCTTAACATTTCCTGGACCCATGCATGTTTTTCTTGGCCTGTTATTTTTGGAATGCTAAAATGCTATTAGATATTCTATGATGAGAAAACGCTGAGGACTGAGAGGGTGGTTAATTATTATTGGCAGACCAGAGAGGTGCACGGCAACTGACACTATGTTAAATGCAGTTGAATGGCAAATATGTAGATCACAGGCTGTAGTCTCCTTTTTTTAGAAAACGGGGTGTTTCAGAGAAAAGAGGTGTCAGTATAATTAACCACAAGTTAAAGATAATCTGTTTTATATTGCATGTTATGTTAACGTGAAGATATTACATTATAGGAATAACAACGTTAGGACTCACCTGTTGTTCATTGTTAATCTTTTGCAGAAGTCAAAACTCTATAGTAGGAATTCAGATTTTGGATTTCAACTTGCATGCATGTTCCCAGCCACCATCACACGTATGTATATGTACATGTGTGTAACATCCAGGTGCAGAAAGTGATGTGTGGTTATTAGCAGGACAACTGGCCTTGCTGGCTCTGGGGTCTTAGCTGATGACTCATGGTTCACTACAGAGCTCTCAGCATGACCCCAGATAAAGAGGCAGTCATGGCCTCACTCGCTACGCTCCTCTGGGACGCATAAAGCACAATTTGTAGCCTCCCTGCTTCCATTGTGTGTCAGCACACTTACAGCCCATCCATAACATTGATAGCGGGTCATAAATGCCTTGTATGTCAATATCACACCGTCCAGTGCATGACGCCTGCGATGAGCCTGAAGCTTTTCTGCTCTACGTTTGAAATATTTGAAAGTTCATTATTGCTGGAAAGCGGCTTCTTCTTGGTCCCGGGTGATTTTATGCAGTTTTTGCTTGTTCAGTAATGCTGCATCATAGAAAGGAAATACCTGGACATTCCTACAGCACTAAGCAGACAGAATAGGAGAAGCCAATTTCTTTGGAACCTTCGGTGCTTGTTTGCAATTATATTCCATGATTTACAATGATGGTTAGAAGTTTATTTTTGTGTTTTGTGCCTTTTTGTACATTAACTGCTGAGTCAAATGCCCTTTTTTATTTTCCCAGTCCCTCACATACACACAATAACAGAGATATTATACTAACTCCCGACTAACAGCCACACTGTACTTGTTGCTGCTAAACTGTGTAGCTGTATGCAGCTGTCTGCTTGGAGCATCATGACGAGGGTGTAATTGAACACAGGTTTATGAAATCCCTCTTTTGTACAAGTACCCTCCTTTAACCAGCCAGTCAGTAAGTCACTAGTTCAGTGACAAAGACTTGATCTCTCCCTGACTGCCGGCAGTCACACCACAGGTAGTGTACTCCAGTTGTGTAACTGGACGACTGCTTTTTCTTCTACTCCACCCACACACCCCATGAAAATATTCTAATCCTCGTGCTAATGCAAAGGCTCAACATGTCTGGCAACTGATTTGCTACTTGATGATTTGGTAAAAATGTGTGGTTTCTGTGATTCAATCAAATCGAGCCTTTGAACCGTGGCTGAAAGAAACAGTACAGACCAGCAGTTTAAGCAAGTTTGGTTCATCTAGAAATAACAAATCAGCCCATTTTTATTTGATTCGAGGCTGAAAAAAATTTTGAGCCACACACCCACTAAGGGTGGGTGAGGCAGCATCAAGGCCCGCTCACACTAATAACGGTAATGCACTGACTCAGCACTGGGATTGTAAAGGCGGGGAATGTAGTAGGGGGTGGGGGTTGCAGCAGCTCTTGGCTGCCCTACTGGCTGTCTGGCCTGTCAATCATTTGGCAAGTTCTTAGTCTTCTCAGAAACACTTAGACATCACTTTCAGTTGCTTGTGAAGCAGGTGTGGTCACCTGGAGCAGACACCAGTGTCACAAAGTCTTCAGGTTTGAAAGAAGGCTGAGTGTCGCCAAGCAGCATGTGTGTGTGTGTGTGTGTGTGTGTGTGTG